CTGTGCGACACGGCACGGCTGATGGTGATGAATGACATCATTGGACCCATCCATTTCGCAACGCCACACATCCTTCGCTTCGCTTGCGCCTCGCTTTGCTCCGTGTCCGCCTCCCCGATAACGTTCATCGCCAACATCATCATCTTTCCAGATCATCGCGTGTCATTAAACAGCCCAGGACTGAGTTTGCCAGCTGTGGAATGTCTTCGCCAGTTTGTCATAGAAACCAAGCACTATACGCACTCCTGCCTTTGAGGCGTGGTCTTCTGATGAGCCACACATCATTTCCTCATCCGGACTGCGATAGCCAAAGCGTGGCTGGGCACGATGGCGCTGCAATGACGTCGTAGTATTACTTACAGGATTGGTATGGGTCTGTGTCATGTACATCATGTGCGTGGTATGAGTAGGCAGCTGTTTAAATATCCCAGCCATCGACCGCAGCAGCAGAACTCGCGCAACCAATAACACTTCCATCTCCAACGGACGCTAGTAGTCACACCACGTTCAAGTCATACAAAAGATCTCAGATCTTGTTTTCTAGATTCTACACTACTACTACTACTACTGCTGCTACTGCTACCGCTACTACGAGATCGAGTCATTCTCACATTCTCAAACGCAAAAATGGACCACTACCCCGAAGTCAGCGTCAACGAACGCGAAACCCCCTCCTCGATGCTCTCCTCGCGCCACGACTCCGCCTCCTCCATCGCCAAAGCCGCCGCCGCCGGTCAAAGACCCTCTGGAGCCTCCACTACAGACGACTCCGCAGCGCGCACCTCCTCATACACGTCCTTCCCGAGTCCATCAACACACTCGCACTCGTCAAACCACTCGTCAACCCACCGCAGCGACTCGAGCTCGTCGTCCAACTCGAACCTCCAACGTATCGAAGCGGAGTACGCGCGGTATACGGATGCGCCGCCGCCGTACAGCGAGAAGGCGTATGAGGGCAAGAGCGACGACGAGAGGAATAACATGCGCATGACGGATTATGCGAAGGAGATCTCGAGGATGATGGGACGGCAGTTGGTTAGGGGGTTGAAGATTGATGAGAGGGAGAAGGGGAGGAAGGGGGATAATAAGGCGAGGTGAGGGTGGGGTTTGTGATGTATGATGTGTATGATGTGTTGTTGGAATGATGGTCGGGCTGCGCCTGGTGTTGGATTTGTTTGTATTATTACCACGGTTTCTGTATTATTAGCACAGCGGTGGCGTTTAGTGATGGCCTTGTAGCGCCGGAAGTGTGCAGAAGGCCTTCGGCTTTGATACCACTAGTTCAAATTGGAGTCTTCAACTTGTTTCTTGCCCAGCTTCTGTTGTATTGATCTGGAAACATACGACAGACCGGTCTCTAGCGAAGCTAGTTTACGCACACTGCTTTCCCTTGAGCTCTTTCTTCTGCAGCTCTGCAGCTCGCACGTTCTTTATAGCTTCAACCAAAGGGGTTTCGACGATGGTGTCGAAGTCCAAGTTCACCAGCTCTAGTTGCGGTGGCAGCTTCACGGGTCTCCCATCACTCCAACACACACCCTTGATAAACTTCTCAGACTTCTCGACTTGCTTCTCTCTGGTGTCGCCATGTAGTCCGCACAGAGTCTGGAATGTCTTATCACGACTGTAATCCCGTGGGCAAATGCGATAAAGCACGCGTACAGTCTGTATCTTGGGAAAGAGCTTTCCTAACTGCGTCGCGATCGTGACAAGATTCCGCCAATTCTTCTCGACTGAAGTATTTTTCCCGAATTTGTGGTACTGGTCTCGGGTGTGCCCGATTTCTGTGTCGTGAAGGACAGCCACCTTCTTAACGAGATGTGCGTATGTTGGCGATAAGGGCAGGATATGCGAGCCGGGCAGGATGAACTGAGTCTGAAACTCGTATATGGGGCTGCAGATTTGGAGGGGTTGCGCGTAGAGCATTTCGGCGAATTCCCAATGCACCTGGCGGCATGTCCTCATGATATTGCAGTCGTGCAATACATCGGCCTGAGCCTCAGTGGCGGCGGGGATACCGTATTTTCCTTCGTCGTGCTTATCGCGCCATCCGTCTCCGATTTGGGGCAGGTCGGTACAGATGTAGTTGTAGATCATGTCTCTTAGCTCTCGCGGTAGATCGAGAAAACTGACGCCGTTGTCACCTGCCATCGCCTCCCAGGTTTTGGGAATGGGTTCCTGCTTCTTGTTAGATCTCACCTACACTGTATTCAGTCCAGATGTGTACGTACGGGCTTCCGGTAGGCAAGAGCAAAGGTGTACTCGGGCGCGTCTGCTTTGGATGGAATGCGAGTATCCATCGTGATGAGATGGCATCGTTCTAATCTGGGTTCAGCAAAATATATGGTCATTAACAGTACGAGTGACTTACCTGCAAACATCTTGTCCTGAAGTCGCTTCGCGCTGGGCAACTGTTCCAGTGTTTTGGTCTTGCGAGTTAGCGAGAGTCCCAATCAGTCCAGTTCTATGGGCCACGGAGGTTTCAGTAGAAACCACCACAGCAAAGAAAACTACAGTTAGACAAAAGTCACAGGCGAGACGACCACGAACTCCTGGATGAAGACGCGACACACCGATTCTCTTTCAGCACCGAATCGCGGGCTTGCCCTATCTCAGGCTACCCACCGAGGTAAGTACCTAGGTACCTACCAGAAACTTTCTAAGATGTTGTCGACGAGTACATGAGTATCCTATGTTCAGGAGCACTTTGACAGGTAATGTAGTTGTTTGCAACGCGTATCTAGGGATGAGCTGCGTGGTTCGAGGGTAACGCGCGCAGATGCGGAGGATTAGGCAGAGTGCTGACTCAGCAGGACTGGGGAACGCTAACAACTCCAACGATCTGGGGCTATGACGCAGGCGGACAGCGTCTTCGCGTCCAAACATGGGTTCACATTTTTCTCTCGCTAGTTGCCTCGCGAGGATGCCAATAGCTTTTATCAATGCTAACGACACGGCAACACTCACCCGAGTTGACGACACTTAGCTGACATGACAAGTCGCGATGGCCCAGCCACGCGCAGAACGCAACGCAACAAAACCTTCCACCCAGCACGCGAACCCGTGAGACACGATACTGGTCGCCTACGCCTCGAAGACGATCGCGTCACCGGCCCGATTCCTTTCCTCAATCCTACGCGAGCCCATTACCGCCACGACGACCGTCCCGATGTCCGCTATAAGTGGACTTCGCGCAATGACCGCAAGGGACGACATGCCGTAGACATCGAACATAGCCAGACTGCTGTCTCAACGAAGCACGATACCCCACGTCCGACTGCCTCCTTTCGTAGCGTTGCACGCAACGTCTGGCGTATGTTCGCATACTTCCCCGTATGGGATATATCATTCGACGTTGCCTTTGTCTTCACGTTGGGCAGCGTGGTATGGTTATTCAATGCCTTTTTCGTATTCCTGCCGTTGGTACGACCAGATTCGGAATTCACAAACGAGGAATTGTATGGTGGGGGCATAACAGCGTTTGTCGGGGTCTGCATCTTCGAGGTGGGGTCATTCCTCCTCGTAGCAGAAGCTGTGAATGAGGGCCGATCGGGGTGCTTCGGATGGGCCGTGGAGCAGATCCTTTCGCATGAAGAGGAGGGAGATGTACGCGTAGAGCTGCGGCCGTCAAAGTCGCATTGCACGCACCATCACAACAAACGGCATGCTGTCAGGACTCGACAAATCGCCGAAGCAAAACCCGCTTTGGAGCCGCAAGAGCGCTCCTGGGTCTGGTGGCCGTCAAACGAAGAACTACGGACCCACTACATTCACAATCTCGGGTTCATAGCGTCCATGTCCCAGCTGCTCGGCGCAACAATCTTCTGGATCGCGGGCCTGACCGCACTGCCTGGCATATACGATCAGATGTCACAAACCCTTACTATTATCCTCTACTGGACTACTCAAGTCGTTGGCGGTATAGGTTTCATCATTTCCGGAGCCCTCTTCATGATCGAGACTCAGTCCAAATGGTGGAAACCTGCTCCTCAAACGCTGGGATGGTGGGTTGGGGCCTGGAACCTAATAGGCGGCATCGGCTTCACGTTGTGTCCGGCTTTCGGATACGATACTCGGAGCTGGGCGCAATATCAAGCGTCACTCAGTACCTTCTGGGGTAGTTGGGCGTTCATGATTGGAAGTACGCTTCAGTGGTATGAGAGTTTGGAGAAATATCCTGTACAAGTTGAGAGTGACAGGTAGCACTTGTTGGCCGACTTCAGACGTTTTCGTTCTCACGTTAATGTGAGTAGCTGGCCGTCGGAAGCAAGAAGAAAAGCAGAGATCGCACCAATTTTCGCGTCCTCCCGGTTCGTTATATCAACCGTCCGCACCTCTTTCCTTCCACTTGCCAATGTGAATTGGGAACACTCCGAATGGCTCCTTCTGCGAAGAACGGGAATGGAAAGCCCTGGGGTGTTAGCGTCCTCCACGCGGCAGCGGCAACTCTTCAAACGTGAACTCATCTTGACTAAATGACGTGCTCGTCACATCTCGTAACCCCATCACAGTGCTGGTCAAGACCCGTGGACGCCTCACGTGAACGACGTTACTCAAACGCAGACCAATTCGGCTTTCCTGTCCCCTCCTTGCTCCCATTACGCCTGATCGCTAAACCTGAGACTCTTCGTTACTCGGATCCACTCCTGCCCTTCGGCGGACGTCATGAGTGACAGTTCCACACGAAAAGAAGCTCTGGAGCTTTATAGGAGTGAAGAGCTACCGAGCATTTACAACAGCTACACCGCAAGTCCAGGCTCCAACATGCTAGACACACCCAGCACCCTCAGACGTAGCAAGGACAGACAGTTGAGTGTCGTCGACTGGCACGGCAACGACGATGCGGCAAACCCCAGGAATTTTCTCTCGTGGAAGAAGGACATCAATATCGGTTGCATATTCATCATGTGTTTTGTATCGTGAGTATCTTGCTTCATTCATACTGTAACCACAATTTGCTAACTTCCAGTAGACCTTTCACGTCCTCCGTCGTCGCACCAGCAATGCCAGACATCATAAGAGACTTCGCATCAACCGATGCCTACCTCTCTGCCTTCGTCCTGAGTATCTACGTCCTAGGCTATGCGTTCGGTCCCCTTCTCATAAGTCCCCTTTCGGAGCAATACGGCCGACTGCCTTTGTACCACGGATGTAACGTGCTCTTCACGGTAAGCACCTTCGCATGCGGACGATCCAACTCTCTCGGCACCTTGGCTGTTTTCCGCTTCCTCGCCGGCGTGGGCGGTAGTAGCGTATTCGCCCTCGCGCCATCCAGCATCGGTGATCTCTGGGTGAAAGAGAAACGCGGCGGGGTCATGGCCTTGATAGGATTGGCGTATAATCTCGGTCCAGCGATTAGTCCTACAGCGGGTAGCTACCTTAACGCTGCGAGAGGGTGGCGGTGGATATTCTATCTTACTACTATTTTGGGCGGGGTGAGTACGGCGCTCAGCATGGTATGTTTGTCGGAGACGTATGAACCGGTTCTACTCCGTCGAAAAGCTGCACAGTTGCGGAAACACACGGGAAATAAGGATTTAAGGGCCAAGTCTGATTTGGACGCTGGGAAGAGCAAGTTGGTAGCTTTTCGCACGGCGATGGTCATGCCGCTACGCATGCTTTTCCTGTCTCGACCGATCTTCTTTACCTCGCTGCTCACGGCTATCGGATACGGATCCCTGTATATCTTGTATACGACCATCCCGACAACATTCGTCGAGACTTACGGATGGGCGCCCAAAAATCTGGGCCTTGCGTATCTCGGTACGGCTGTCGGTAACCTCATTGGTATGCTTGGAGGCGGTGCAATTAGCGACGGCCTCGTCAAGCGGAAGGCACTCAAAGGCGACGCGAGATCGGAGAACAGGTTGCTACCCATGATTTTCTGGTGGCCGCTTGTGAGTATCGGGTTGTTCATCTATGCTTGGACGGCTCAGTATGGTGTGCACTGGATTGCGCCATTGATCGGAACGGCGGTGTTTGGTGCTGGGTCTATGAGCACTATTGTAAGTTCATCCTCCTCAACTCATGTATCGTCTTGAGTTGGTTCTCAACACTTGGTATACGACCGCTAACTCTCATCTAGTTCTTCACAGGCACATACATCCTAGACGCCTACCCACTCCACTCCGCATCTGGCATGGCCGCCTGTTCAGTCATGCGCTCGCTCGTCGGCGGTCTTGCGCCTCTCTTCTCGCACAAGATGTATCAAAAGCTCGATGTGGGGTGGTCGTTTTCGTTGCTTGCGTTCATCGCTCTTGCTTTCGCGCCGGTACCGTGGGTGTTTTATACTTTCGGTGAGAAGTGGCGTGCTGGTGAGCGTTATGGAGGGAGGGGCGATACGGGTGGGCTGGAGCGAGAACAGGTGGGATCAAGGGTTGTGATGGTGGAGGTAGATGGGAAGGCGCTTGCGTGATCAGTCATGGATGTACAAGGTCGTGGTTGCCTGATACGGCTTAGCCACAACGATGCCTTACCTTGCGATGCTCTCACTTCCAACACTTCACTCCGAGTCGTCGTTGTCAGTCTCCTGCGAGCATATCATCCTTGCGATTTCTCTCGTTCCTTCATTTCCCGATGCATACTCCATACTCCGCTCGAATGGCTATTGTACTTATTGCGGCAATCGCGAGTGACCCTCGCTCGGTCGCAGTACTATGGAACCTGGTCGTTGTTGCCCATATCGCCAGGACCAGCGCTGTCCCCATAAGTCAACTTCTCGATGTATCATTCCCTCACACATCCATCATCATAACAAGTTCGTCTAATCACATTCCGTTACCATCACATGTTTACTGCAACACATCCGAACTCGTTCACTTTTATCAGCACCGCAAGGCTTATATCGGGGTCACTTTCACTATCGCCAGTCACCCAGACTACGCACGCGATATTGCGTCCGTTTGCGCACCGTCACTTGCACCCGAAAAGCCTACATATCATAGAAACGTTCATCACCCGGCACATCACAGATACTACACCGCTCCCCACCTCCCGCCTCGCCAATGATCGGCCAACGAAGAAGCGCACACGCCGAGCCAGCGAATATGGCACTTCCCGCTAGAAGTACGAACATGTACAATAGACGCTACATAAGCACCGTCCGTAGCTCGGATAAGAAGACCTTCAACTTGAAGCCCGAAACCACCCGTGCGTACCGATCCGGCGATCCATCCGTCACAAGTGCTCCAGAAGTTCCGGGCACAATGAAGATCATCGTCGGACCAGTGTCAAATCAACAAACCTGGCATATTCCCAAAGCACGTCTAATACGACATTCAAGCATGTTCGACGGAATAATCGCCGCAGACAGAAAGATTTCCGAAGTCCATCTCCCAACCATCACTCCCAACGCCTTTGCCGATTTCGTTCCATACATGGAATCAAGCGTATACAGTCCGAACACAGTTGTTACCGGTTATCGTAGCCTACGTGCACATACCGATGCCTGCCTACTCGGGGTTAAGCTCGAAGCGGATGTATACTGGGAAGCCGCTATGCGGCAAATTCACAAGCTCGTCGAGCCACTCGCCCGGTCGACAAGATCCGACGCGAAACAATCTCTCATCCGAGCGAGTGATATTGCGTACATCTGCGCCAACACCACCGCCGAGAGCCTTCGTCGTATCGCGATCATCGGTCCTGTCGCAAGAAGATCGTCTGTTGGCTCCCCGCCTCCTCCAAGACAAGACCGCCACAGTCAGGCTTCCGCCGGGATGGAACTACTCCAAAGACTCTTTTTCGACGCCCTAGCCTCTCATTGGTCTCAGCGAGATGTCCACTATATCGGCGCACAGGATTCGCCCCGTGGCGGCGGTTTCAACAGGAACGACGTTCCTGGAGATAGTACCACGTGGGGAGAGCTATGTGAGACGTACCCTGACTTCAAAACCCATATGGACAATACCGGAGACATGCAAAGTCGTTACCGGGGCAGCATACTGAGGGAAGTCAACACATACCTCGGCCTTCCAGTTAAGCCCGACCCCCAAGATGAAGGCAAAAGTGAGGGTAACAGCAGCCGCAGCAGTGCCACGGCGGTCCAGACAGAGGATGTTGATGACATCAGGGAAGAAGAGAAGCCACGGCCCAAACTCACGCTCAAACTGAGGGGTCTGAGGCGGAGGGGTAGTAGGGTGTTCGGAGAGGAGGTGTCGGGGAATCCCTGGGAAGAGCACCAAGACCGTACTAGGCTTAGGGAGAGCGCGGATGGAGAGGACACCATTAACGGCGCCGCTGAAGAAACTGCGACCCAGGAGACTACGGAGGGCGTGGACGCGGCCAGAGATGAATCAACCCAGTCCGATGAGACCACAGAGGGCATAGACGCGGCAAGAGATGAAGCATCCGGAACCGAGGAGAGCACGAAGGACATGGACGCGGCCAATGACGAAGCACCCCAACCCGATGTGACTATAGGAGGTCTGGACAACGGGTTCGAGGAGGAGTTTCTAACCGGCTTTAGTGGGTCGTTAGAACGTTCGTGATGGGGGTGGCGAACAACGTGGTGCTCGGGATCTTGGACGCACTCTTTGACGTGTGAGCTGCCTTCACACTCGTTTACTTTCGACATGCACGAAAGCTCTGGTGTTATCTTCTGAGGCGCTTGTGCGAAGAGGCTTCCTGGATATCAAGTAGTGCGAATGATATCATGTTGTAGCTTGGATGTTGCCAACTCTTTCGTGTGTGCATGATGCAGATGGGAAAATTAAACACTCTGCAGTGTACATTGGTATTCGAATAGAGGTTAGCAAATCATTGACTTCATGTATGCCCCTTGGTTAATGACATTCATGATATTATCTAGGTGGGTGTTCGATTCGTTCTTGTCGTTGTATGCAACTACTTGCTGTCACGGCTTGTGTACGAAATATAGAACACCCAATTCTACTTGCGTTTCCCTCATTTCTTGGGCTCATCAAGGAGAGGACTGTATCTTTACAAGATATTAACGCAATTAGGTAGTGATGCCGTGAATCCGCATCATGACCTTCCAGCCATGAAACATCGGCGCTCGCGAGGCTGCCAACAGCGTCAACGCGTCAGTTTGCCTTGTAGATGCCTGACTCCCCTTACGATCGGGCGTTCTGATCCTGCAGTTGAACCCTACAGCTTTGTCAATGTGATCAACACCTAACACATGCATCCAGCAGCGGTAAATAGTAAAAGCCACGCCGTAAACACACATCTGCCACGAGCGTCTACGGACATCACTCCGCTCTAAACCATCCCTCCGTCAAGGTTGAGTCAACCCACCATCAACACCCCCCTAAGACCACCGTCTCAGAACCACAAGAAAGATGGTGGTTGCTAAACTGGTCGCCAGGCACCTCGCCGCACCCACGCATCTGCCACCAGCGCCTACTTCCAGACCACCCACCTGCCCAAACCGCCTCCCTCCGCATCCGCATCAGCAAGGCGGCCAGGCTAGGCCAGACCACGAAACCCGCTCACCCACCTTACTCCTACTTTACTTACCCCAACCCACATACGCGCGCCTCTATTCATGGCGTCTTCGCAATCGAGTGGCCCAAGTCATCCGAAAGCGCATCACGCAAGCGCTGGTGTCGCCCCCAAAGGATGAGGCGAGAGCGACTGGGACCTTTTCTTAGGCCTAACCCCCGCCCGCGAGCGCCGCGCAACCGCATCGATGACCTGCAGTAGTTTTGCTACCCGTGCCGCTCTCCCTGGATCTGTCGAACGAACGAGCTGCGAACAAAAATAAAGGTCAAGGCTGGATTGACGATGGATTGTAGACATGGAAGTTAGTGGTGATGAGTCAATGTGTTGATCAGCTTCTGGGCGTAGGTAACGCGCATGCGCACGCGTTGTTGGCGGCGCAATCTACTTCGTCAGCACAACGCGGTGCATCTTCGTTTTGTTTCTCCGCTGAACACGCAACGCAAAGCAAGGCAGTCTATCAGGTCTCACGATGCAAGCAAGGACCGACTCCATGTGGTCAGCTGATAGGATGCGATGCAGTCGGAGATGCGTTGCGGCTGTAAGATGTAGCAGCTTGTTTCTGCACTGCCGACACTGCGAGAACATTTTGTAAAAAGGTGAGGCTTGTTTCATCTTATGTTTTGCGCTGTTGGCCCACGGGTAGGTGGAGCAGCGACGAGGAAGCAGGCGAGTGAGTTGGTGAGGCGGTGGAGACACGGCATTTGGCAGACCCATCTGTGCGAGGCGGCAGACGAGGATCCCGTGGCTATGTATACATGACATGGTATAGTCGCCCAGTGATCTGAGGCGCGAGGGTTGTCCTTGTGTGTGAGCTGGGTATGAGGCTGTCAATGCATGGTGGATGGCGAAACATGTGAGTAACTGCGGGCAGGCGCGGGTATTGGGCTTGATGGAGCTTGTAAGGCTAAGAGCCAAGAGTAGATGCCCAGGTGGCATCGTGAAGATGCCCATCAGGTGATTACTGAGATACGGAAGGCGAAACATTGAAGGTTGTAAGATTTGTGCTGACGAGGCTGTCGTTGCTTCGTGATGTGGCAAATGGTGTGAGTAGCTCACATGACTTATCGCATTCAGAAACAATGTCACTGAGAGACCGCATTGTTCTCATGCGACTGCATCATGTTCGTGATGGCGATGTTCACATACACGTGACTGGAGGTGTCTCACTCAGACGAAGTGCTGCGTACGCCAAGTGCAAAACCCGACTGCGCGCGATTTCTCGGGCGACGAACATCTGGGCATGCTCAACGCCTTTGACCACTTCACCATGCATACGGCGTACGGTGTCTCGACGCCGGAGTTCTGCCCTGTAGTCGGACCTTACTGTGGAAGAAACTTCGCAGATTACTCGCGGCCGCTGTGATCTGCGGGACCCTCGATCGAATCACCCCATAGCCACGACTAAGCTCAACGCGAGCGGCTGTACTCGTCCAGAAAAGCCATGGAACAACACAACAGAACCGCAGAAGGTCCGACGTCCCTGCCGATCCAATCTCCTCTGGGCTGCCAGAGTGTAGAGTTTGGTTCGGTGGATAGTTACCGCCGACTAGAGGGCTGCTAGAGCTGAGTGTTTCATCAT